GACGAAGCGGATCTTGTGGAGGTGACCGCCCACTACAGAAAACATCACCTATATAAATTACCATTTTACATTTCGTTGTTGTAAGAATCATTGAAACCTTAATGATGCTTTAGTAAATTTGCGAGCGGGTACTAAATTTATAAGTTCTCTTTATTAATAGAAATAGAGGCAATGTGCACACTACGAGCATACGAAGCGAAACAAAGGTGGGTAGGTAATAAATAAACTGGATGAAGTGGGTGGGTTACTCGACGTGAGTCGAGAACGATTTCTTTTTGTTTAGCAAGGTGATAGAACACTTAATAACTCAGTCAACAATTTAAAATTAATCACAATATGGTTTTCTCTCAGGGTTAATACCATAAAAAACCCTAAACTGGCACACATATGATATATTTACTTTAAACTAATTTTTTAATCATCAAAAACTCCAAACTGGAATACACGTGATAAATTTACCCCCAAACTAATTTTTTGATAACAAAAAATCATAAACTGGTACATTTGTGACAAATTTACCATCAGTTAAATTGAATTAATACTACGAGACAAATGGAGGATAAAACCTCAAACTGAGACACTCGTCAACTGCTACGTGTCATCCAACTCAGAAATTTGACTGTAAAATTTAACGAAAACTAATGAACGATAAAATTATCACAGATGTACTAGTTTGGGGTTTTTCGTGGTATTAGCCTTTTCTCTTATTTATTGGGAATAGAAATTTTTACGGTCGTACCAAACGCATTTCTTTTTTTTTTGGTAAGGAAAAAAAAGAAAAAAAAAGAAATGTGTTTGGTACGACCCTAAAAATTTCTATTCCCAATAAAATTTTTTAGGGTCGTACCAAACGCATTTCTTTTCTTTTTATATTCCAGGAATATAAATTTTGTGTAGTTACCAAACGCGCTCTTCTGCTCAGAAACTCGTCCAGAGAATAGAAATAGAAAAACTATTTTTGAATAGAAATTGTTCCAAAAAATAGAAACGTTACCAAACGGAGCTAAGGGCCGGTTTGGTAACACTCCAAAATTTCTATTTTACTGTTATTTTGTTCTCCAAAACAGAAAAAGAACATAAATCAATTTGATAACGTCAATTAATTTTTTTGTTCTCCGGAACAAAAAGGTAGCAGGGTATAGATTTGCAATAGAAATAATAAGTAAAAAAAATCCATTTCTTGTTCCGGGTTTTTAAAAGAGAAACAAGATCAACTATCTCTTTCACAAGATATTCTCATGCTAAATCCTAAACTCCAAACCTTAAAACACTAAAATCCTAAATTCGAAACCCTAAAACACTAAACCTCAACCTTAAAATCTTAAACCCTAAATCCCAAACCTTAAACCCGAAACCCCAAAATCCTAAACCCTAAAACCTCAAACTCCAAACTCCAAAACCCGAATTCCTAAAACCTTAAACTCATAAACCCCGAAACCCAAATCCAAAAAGCCAAAACCCGAAACACTAAACACAAAACCCCAAAACCCAAAACCGCAAAACCCCAAAACCCCAAACCTCAAAGCCCCAAACCCAAAACTCGAAACACTAAAACCCATAACCGTAAATCCAAACCCAAAGCCCCAAATCAAAAACCTTAAAACCCTAATCCTAAACTCCAAACCCCTAAATCCTAAACTGCAATTTTCTCGACCACCACCCGGTATTTACTTTGTCTATAAGGAGTAATTTTCTTTATTATTGTATTAATGTCATCTAATTTTATATCATAATATATTCTGATTCTATTTCCATTCTAGTTTTATCCAAACATGAATTATCAAGTATCCATTGACTTTTTTTTATAATTAAATGAAAAAAATTGGGATTAGAAATTTTTAGAGTCGTACCAAACGCATTTTTATTTCTTTTCTATTCCGGGAATAGAAATTTTGTATAGTTATCAAACACGTTCTTCTACTCAGAAACTCGTTCAGGGAATAGAAATAGAAAAAAACTATTTCTGAACATAAATTATTCCCGAGGACAGAAACGTTACCAAACATATTTTAAGTGTAACCCTGCAAAACGATAAAACGAAGTCAATATCACCTCCTCAACTCTTCACTCAATTGGAGTTAATTACAGATGCGAGGGTATAATGATAAGGGATGGGAGGACACCAAAATTCGAAAATTACTTTATATATGGATAGTATAGATGGTATAAACAAAATAGGAATCCGAAAATGGAGGGGGGGGGGGGTTGTTTTATTCGTACAAGATCACGTATTTATTTTGGCTGGATATGTAAGCAAATGGAGAGTCGCGCTCACGAAGCGAAGCAAAATAGGAAATCATTACATACAATAATCAATTTTCCACGAAAAGAGGATGATGAAAAAAATAAAATAAAAATTAAAAATTAAAAAACTGGTCGTTGTCACCCTAGATAGGAACTCGGGTGTGCTTTATGGAGATTCAGATATTTTTGTAGGTGGGTGGGGGTTGGGCAGGCAGTGGGCTGCACCGCAATAGCTGGCGGGGGGTTTTGCATTTTCCCCGCTTTTGCCTTTATTTTGGCCCCACTCGAATGCGTATGAACATGGCCCTTGTCCATATACACTCCAAAGTGTGTCAAAAAACATGAAAAAACCAATCCCCGCACGCTCGATTGGAAGAATCATTTATCGTCATTTTTTTTTTTGTAACTCGAGAGCTCGGACAAGTGCGTCGATTAGCCGGAGATCCATGGAGCACCCCGCGAATTACATGGACCGTTTCAAGTCCCGGCGGTCGGCCTGATGTAGATGGGCCCCCGACACAGAGCACCCTGCGCGTGGTTCGCGACGCAGAGCACCATACGATGACGGAACTCACGGATTGATAAGGCGAAGGTCCGTGGAGTACCCTACGAAATTTATGGGCCGATCAGGTCTCGATGTTTGACCTGTGCAGGTGGCCACGACATGATTGACGAGATTCGAACGAGGTGATCTTCCGGATCATGAACCGGGGAAAATCCCCAACGTCACCGTACCGTCTCAACCAACTGCGTCAATTCTGTTCGATCGCAAGTCAAACGACAATATAATTCGAGCCGAATCGCGGCAAACAATAAGATCGGTTCGGACGATTTCTCAAAGATCCGATCGATCCTGCTGGTCACGTCACCCATGAAATAAGGGGGATGGAGGAAGGAGGTGGCGGGATGGAGGGAGTAATAATGGGATTTGCCAATTGGGGGGGTGGGGGGGATCACTTTGCAGCAAAGCATGGGGACACGGAGCTTTGCCCAGATGGAGCTGCCGGTCGGTCCACGGCAGATGCGGCGGTCGCCCTCCCTCCGCCAATTTGCCGACGCCACGAGGACAAAGACGGCCGCTTTTTGGGGCCGGCGAGGGGACGGCGGTGCGTGCGCTGCGGCGGCCCCCCCACCCCGCCGCGCCCCTCCCCCACGCCGTGATTTGCTACTCTCTCGCGCACTGCACACCCATCACCCTCAAACAAGCAACGGCGTAAAGTTTGATTAGTGAGGTTTTAGATTAGCCAGAGGAAAAGACCATAAGAAATGATTTATTACGATTCAAAAATTCTTTTTATGTATTTATGACCCGGAGTAATGTAAGGGTATAACTTAAAAAGAAGGATAAGGTACCTTTGTTTCACCGAAAAACTAAAGATAAAGAAAATATTCTTCGCGAAAATTATATTACGGAAAATAGTTAGTTTTCATTTGTCCGGCGGCTTAGGGGGAAAATGATTCCCTTCTTATCGAAAGTGAAAACCGTTCTACCTTTGTTGGCACATTTAAATAATAAAATCACGCATTCATTTTAACAGCTTAAGATTTTAGAACGGCTGGCGGCAGTAGTCCCATAAAATCTAGCATCATGGTATCGGAGCCGGAGGTCCCGAGTTCGAATCTTTTCAGGGTCCTATTCGCTTCTTCAATTCTACAGATTTCGTTAAATTTCCCCCGAGAACGAATATCACCACGTCGTCCCCCGTCGAAACTAGCTAAGGGATATTTAACGGATATATTATGCTGAATTTGGGCACGGGATGAATCGTCGATTAATTCTCGAACCCCCCTCCCTCTCCTATCTTCCTTGCTCCGCATCAGGAAATAATATCATGTGCTCCGAGCGCTCTCACAATTCATCGAATCGACGGAATCCCTCCCGTAATCGTTCGTAACCCGCCGTGTGACCACTGCATTTTCCTTCTATAATGATTGTTACATAAACGCCGTTACAATAGTTTTTTGAAATGGACGTTAAAGATAGATTGGGGGGGCAGTCCACGTTTCGAGCCCCACTGGCCATTGTTTCACTTCACTGGGACTATACACACACGCTATGCTGCCTTTTTCTCTTTTTCCTTTTTTTTAAATCTTTCAAAAAAAAAGCGGAAAAAGGAAGATATATTCAAAACCACCACCCCCGCCCCCCCCCGGGGCGGGCCCCACGCCGTCACATGCCCCAACCCACCAGCCCCTCTCGCCTTGCCAGACCCGCCCGCCCACCCCCCCCCCCCCCCCCCGGGCGGCCGACGGCCCTGGGCCCCCCACTCCTTACCCTTCCCGCTTCCCCTTCCCCTTCCCCTTCCCCGATCTTACCTGGCCGCAACTCCGCCCCCCCGGGCCCCACCCAAAAAAGACAGAAGAAGAAGAAGGAGGGGGGAAAACCCCTCCGTCCGTCCGCGCGCGTGGCATCCCGCGCCCCCGGCCTCCCGCGCGTGCGCTCTCGACTCCCCTCCCCCCCCACTCGCTTGCCACGTCCTACTTCTCTCTCTCTCTCTCTCTCTCTCTAAGGGAAAAGCGGGGGGCAGTCCTCAAAGGGGACGTTCTGTCTCTCACCACCGCCCCACACCATGCGCACGCGCTCGCCTTATAATTGAGCCCCCCCCACCTCCCCCTTCTCTTCCTCCATTTTTACCCTCTCTTTTGTGCTGCTTCCTCTTCCGTCTTCCCAAAAGCGGGAGTTTCTCTTCAAAATCTCTCCCCTCTCTTTCGTCTCGACTCTGGCAAACCTTCGCCTGCAAGCAAGAACCCCCTTTTTGAGCCCCTCCCCGACCTGTGGCTGTGGTTGCTCGCACTTTTTTCCCCTCATGGCGGAGAGCATAGACGACGGCGAGTTCTGGCTCCCCCCGCAGTTCCTCTCCGACGCCGACGCCGACGACGACGACGACCTCCTCGTCTTCCCGGAGCGGCGGTGCCCCGCCCCCGGTGGTGGCTCCTCCGCCGCCGCCGCCGCCGCGACCCATGCGGCTTCGGCTTCGGCTTCGGCGTTACCGTACTTCGAGCGGGCGCGCGGGGTCGTACTGTCGCCGGATCTCGGCTCTCCGGTGGAGTCCGTGGTGGGGTCGACGGAGGAATGGAGCGACGTGGAGGAGCGCATCGCCGACTTGACTCGCAAGGTGGCTCAGTCTACCCTCGAAGACGATTTCGAGTACTCGAAGGTACGAGAGAAGGAAGCTCTAAACATCCTTTCGTTCTTTATTTGTTTTTTGCCCCCTCTTTTCCATTTTCGGCGCAGTCTCTGATTAGGGTTCTTTTTTTTTTTTGGTGGTTTGGCTTTTGTCTTGTCTGTTCAGGGTTTCTTCTTGTCGGGCTCGCCCAAATCGACGCTGTGCGGGCTCCGGAGCGGTTGCGGGTGCGGCCAGGGCTCGAGCCGCGGCAGCCCGAACGGCCCGTCGCAGCCCGCTTCGCCTCCGGGCACGCTGAACCTCCTCCGCGAGGCCGCCGGCAGGGTCGCTCACCTGGGCATCAACGACGAGGAGCTCTACGCCCTCAACAGCTTCGCTAAGTACCACAAGTACGACGTCGCCCCCTACTCTTACCCGTCGATCTCGCAGCACCAGCCCTTTCAGGCCGCCACGCCGGTAAGTTCGGATTCTACGGGCTGGTTGTGCACGAGGCCTTTCAAGTCTTGAACGTCTCGAGCCGTCGCTGATGTTTTTCTTTTTGTTGTTTCGCCGGCAGTTTCGGCACGTGACGACGATGGCTCAAGCTCCGTTCCAGGGTGTGAGGAACAGCGATTTCGCGGGCGTCGTCGGGAACGGACGGTTTGCCGCGGCCGCCGCGTGGCCGACTCTGCAACAAGCGCATCGACAACAGTCGGAGCTGCGGAGCCACCACCTACACGGGTCGGGCAGGAGGGCTGTGTTTCTCGGATCTGCTGGGCTCAAGCGAGAATCGGCGGGGACGGGCGTGTTCTTGCCTCGGCGGGCTGTCTCCGAGCCCGAACATCGCAAAAAGACAGGTCAGAAATAGATCTCTTAGCGATCTCTGGTGGTCCTTTGAAGTGATTTGTGATGTTTTCCCTAGTTCGCTTTCGCTCTGTTCTAGACCGGCGTGGGAGTTTGACTGGTTTTGTGTGGATTTCGTAAGAGAGAGTATGTGGGCAGAGGAAGAATCAACTCCTGTAGTTAGCGGGACGTTTTCACCCACCCATGTTCTGTTATTTTGTCATTTTGTCTGACTAGTTCGATCTTTGCTCGTGCTTGTGGGTGCTGCTTCAGGTTCGACGGTGTTGATCCCTGCAAAAGTAGTGCAGGCCCTGAACCTGAACTTGGACGACACAGGCTCTCAGCCCCAGCTTCAGTCTCGTCTTAACGTCTGCTTCGCGCCTGAGAGTGGTGAGTCCTCATTACTCATGCCTTCTGCGGTCCCTCGAAGTTCAATCTGCTCGAGCCTAGTTGTGTCGTGTCGTCCAAGTGTGTAATTTGCCAAAACCCAAATACAAGTTTGCCGAGATTTGCACTCTGTTCCCATAAAAAAAAATTGGTTCTTTTCAATCGAGTCTCTTCTTTTGTTCGGTGCTGCGAATCTTGTTCTGTTCTTTTAGCGAGATCTTTACTTAGTGGTTACTTTTTTTTTTTACTCTTCTGTTTTGGGTCGCGCAGATGGAGCCTGGAGATACAGAAGCAACCGGCCTCATCATGTCCAACAGAGAGGCAATCACCATACCCACCACCATCACCATAACCGGCGGCCACCGGCGATGAGCCATGAGATCCGGCTTCCTCAGGAGTGGACCTACTAACGAACCACATCTTGACGGAACGCTCTCGTCTTTGGCACCAGCGTCTCCATAGTTAAAAAAGAAGCAAAGGTTTAGGGCTATTACTACAGTTCTTTTTAGCGGTGAAAGAAAGCAAAGATTTTAGTTGGGTACCATTAAAAGTTTTAAGTGTTGAAGAGGGTTCTTTTTGAGGGGGGTGGGGGATTATTAGGGTTTTTAGTGGTGGGTAAGAAGGAGAAGGAGAAGGAGAAGAAGGAAGCAATAAATGTTTGCATTGAAGGGAAGTGAACGACGCAGCAGCAAACCAAGCACACAACACAATCATGGCCAGCTTTTCTCGATGTCTCGGGCTCAGAGGACGAGGCGGTGCCTTCCTTTTTGGTTTTTGGCCTTCTGGTAATAAGCGATGTGCTTTTTTTTTATTTTTTTATTTAGTGGAAAGGAGTGTAAGATTTGTTTTTATTATTGTTATTATTTTTTCGCTTTCTTTTTTTATAATATCGGAATGGAGTGTGTGAGAAGAGGATTTGAAGTTGTTGTGGGAGGAGGGTCGATCCATGTTTTGGGAAAAGAGAGGAGTTTTTCAAACCCTCTGATTTTTCGCAGTGTTTTTTGTTCCTGGGATTTCGTTCCAGACCAGCCTGTCCACCCCCCCTCAGATATTCCATAATAATGATAATGATAATTTGTTTTGATCTATTATTTTAAATTGAATCCACGGTTGGTCTTCCCCTCGGAGACATTATTGTAATAATTGTTGGGGGACTTGAAGTGGGGGCGTAGAAGTTGCTTTTTGCGCTTCTATGGATACCTATCGAAGACTCCCCACTGCTCCTTAGTTTTTAATTTAATTATCTTCCGGTCGTTCTGTCCCGGGAAAATAAATAATCTTATGTTCTATATCCGTTTTTAAGTGATACAAGTGGTCGGTTATAGCAAAGATGTTTTTTAATTACTTTGTTTTTGGCGAAATAGATGAAGGCACGGGAAGCTTTATTTTATATTAAATGCGGCATTTGGGTAAGTGGATGATTGGGGGGGGGGGGGTAAGCTGGACCTAGTTCAAATTGTGGCACATGATTATGGTTTTTATTATAGTAAATGCGAGGTTGGATTAAGGAGAACATATCTGGGGTAATGCTCCATGCCATAACTTAGGAAGCAAGTAATCATATGAGGCTATGTGACTGGTGTCGTGTCAGCTGATGTTATCGGACCACTCCAACGGGGGTTTTTGCTTTTTGCAATCTCTGTTCTAGTTTTTCCTTTTTAGGGGGGGGACTTGTACCTTTCGTAACCAGCGAGCGAGGTGGCGGGTCAAACAAAGATCTGCTGTGTGATTTGCAACGCTACTGAGTTTCTAGTTGGAATCCTTCAATAGCTTTTTGATCATAGTAGAAATTCTAGTTTGCATGGGCATTGGTTAGGCTTGTGGTGTGCGTAACTTCGGCTTTATATCGACTAGCATCTGGTGGCGTCAATGATGACGGGGTTCGCTTGAAATGTGCAGTAATAATGGGTTAAAATTCGAAGATTTCAATCGTGGGTAGCCAATAGAAATTGCTGTTCCTGACCCTTTATATCTAAGCAAAATCAACTATATCACTGTACTCGACATTCAAATTCAAGAATATTGGTCTTAGTTAGCCGCGCATCTAGCTTGTAACTTGTGCCATTCACAGCCACCAAGTGTGTTGATCGGATCAATTAAGATTTACTACTATGTGATTTGGATCGCTCCTTAGATTCGAGTTTGAATATCCCAATAGCCTTTTCCGATCGTAGGAAATGTTAGCTCATGCGTGCATTGGTTTGGCTCGTTACAAACGTAGGATTGACTTGTGACAAACGTAGGAATAGCGTCGGTATTGCACTTGGTGGCACGATGAAGACGGGCCCGGCTTAAATTGAATGTTCCGATCGTGGGTCTGGAAAGGTCATCAATGCCGATCGCCCTACCCGACCTTTTTTATCCGGACAAAACAAGACAATTCGTTGTACCATTCAATGCCAAGGTAGAAGGGTATCTGCAATTGACATTGCAAGTGCACGACGTGATCGTGTTTTGTTTCGAGGGCGCAATATCATCACGACATCAATGTGATGTTAGGCCGGATGAGGAAAATAAGGAAAAAAGAAACAGAGCAAGGGGCTGTTTGCTCTCGTGGGAGGATGTACGTATGTTCTCATTCTTGGCACCTTTGGCTGCCGGGTGGCGGAGATCGGCCACGCCCGCCGGCATCCACCGAGGCCGGCGGTGACGTGACCCCACCCCCCCGTGATGCGGCATGACATGATGGGTGGGCAAGAACGTGGGGGGAGGCGGTTCGAGGGTCGTGTCAATGAAGGGACGGCTGGATTGATGGGCCATGTAGTGGGCGACACGTTGGACAAAAGGCGTGTGGAGCTGAAGCTTTGACTCGGTCACCCTCGCACCAAACACGAACGGCGCACGTTCTTCTGGATTCCCCTGTCCCTTTTCCCTTCGATTCTTCTCTCCCCCAAGTTTGTTTTGTTCCCTTCCTCATTCTCGCTGGGCACTCCGGCCGACATCCCCAATCCAACAAAATACAAAAAAGAAGAAGAAGAGGAAGTCAAAATTAGATTCCGATTAATTGCCGTTGGCAAAAGGCACTGATCGAGCGGTTACATTGTATTTGATCAGGTTTTTGTTTCGATAACAAGGCCTCTTCAATTATATCGCTTATTCATGTGTATTGAGTGAGACTTCAAATTGAACGTGCGTTTTAGAGTTGTTTTGAACAATGTATATTGAAACACAAGTTGCTTTGAATAACGTATCACATCTAATTAATTGCTTCATATTTTGATAGCTATTCAGTTCTAAATTTATTGTATGACTTTTATTCAGTTTTAAATTTTTAAATTTGGTCAATTTTGATTGGAAATTGCTAACGTGGACATCGGCCGTCTTAAGTGCCATGGCCGGCGCTGGCACGAACGATTTTATTTTTTTTGTAAATTTTAAAATTTTTCTAAACCTTTTGTTCTCTTTCCTTTTAATTTTTTTCTCTGTTTTGCTTGCGGCCAGTCTTGGCGATGGCCGGCGACCGGCCCAGGCGAGGGTTAGGCTCACACAAACTTGGGTGAGGGTGACCCTTGCTTGTGGCCCACGAGGGCCGGAATGCCCTTGCTAGGTTTGGTCGAGCGCGGCCCTCGTTGGATCTCACTTGTAATTGGTTGCTGACCATCGCTAAGACTGGCCACAGGCGAAAAGGAAAAGAAAAGGAGAGAATTTTTTTTTTCAGAAAATGTAAATCAAATTGCAAAAATCGCCCACGTTAGTGATTGCCAGCCAAAATTGAACGGAATGACTGCATTGAAAAATAAAAAAGCGTGGAACTAATTTGGCCACCATATAATAAACTTAGGATTTTTTTGGACAGTTTTTCCTTTTTTTTGTGTGTGACCAAAGCCCCTAAACTATGCTAATTGTGACACCACTAATACAAGTTTAGGGTATTGATGACACGGTAAAATTTTTTTAGGGTACTAGTGTCATAGTTGATGACACGGTGAAAAAAGTTTAGGGCACTAGTGTCCCTAAACTTGAATTAATGGACGGACAACATTAAACATTTTCATGTAGTTTAGAGAGTAAATTGAACTTGTACCAAAAGTTTAAGGCTAAATTGAACAAATTAAAAGTCTATAGATGACATTGCACATTGGCTAAAATTCATGGACCACATTATATAAATTAAAAGTTTAGGGATCACATTGCATATTGGACCAAAGTTCAAGGACCATTTGTGTCATTTTCTCTTAATAATTTTATATTTTGAAAAGTTTCAGATGTGCCGCATAAAAAGTCGAATTGCTTGAGTCATTGAATTTGAAAAAATAGTTGAATATGAAGGCTCCGTTCGTTTCCTAGAAAACAAATTCCAGGAAAATGTTTTCTGGATTTTCGGTGTTTATTTCACGTAAAATAAACTAGTCGTGAAAAACATTTTCCATATCTTCTTTCACCTCATTTTTTTGAAATAACTCATTTTCCTTTTATTTTTTTAAATCGAGTTTTTAATTATTTTATATTTTTATATTTTCCTTTTCTTTCTTTCTTTTTTTATTCTTCCTTGGCCAGTCACCGGTCACGGCGGCGACCAGCAACCAGCGACAAGCGAGCTCGAGCCTCGCTTGATTCGGCGAGGTCGAACTTGCCCAAGGCCAGCAAGCTAGGTGAGGCTCAAACCTCGCTCGAGGTCGCCAGAGCCTCGTTGACATTTGGCAACCTCGGGCGAGGCTTCAGCTCGCCAGATTTGGTGAGGCCCGAGCTCCCCGAGGTCACCAGAGCCTAGAGACTGAGCCTCGCCCAGCTCGCCGGATCTGGCGAGGCTTGAGCTTGCCTGTGGCCGATGACCGGCCAAGGAAGAAGAAAAAAAAAGAAAGAAAAGGAGAAAAAAAGAAAAAAGAAAAAAGAAAAAAAAAGAATTTTTTTTTTGATTTTTTTTGGTAACTTTCCCTAGAAAATTAAATCAGATACTGAATGGTGGAAAATATTTTCCAATTCATTTTTAGGTCTCAGCCAAACATTGAAAAATATTGTCATTTTTCTGGAAAATGACTTTCCCAAAAACATTTTCCAGAAGCGTCACCTTTTCCACGAAACGAATGGAGCCTAAAAGTAAAGCTGTAGACTCTACCGTGTACAAAGAAAAAACGAAACAAAAAAAACGTCTATGATAAGTTGATTGTCTCCGGAGTTGAAGGAAATAGATAATTTTTAAAGGCATTACTTGTCCTCGCCTCTCATATGTCGTGACTGCTTTAGTTCTCTTTCCGTTTATATTTGGATAATTATTTAATCTTGATGGAAAAATAAAAATTAGCTTTTGCTTATAAAAAAAAGTCTAATGGAACAGCCCTTCTAGATTGCAATAAAGATATATATGATTACATCGTTACAATTATCTGAGTATATTGGTTTCATTAGAACTTGAGTCTGAAATATTATACACATACCATGTGATGGAGGTTTGCATACTCAATAAACACATGCCTACTAGAGTTTGAATCGAATTATGTTATGAAATTTCTATTAAAAATTGATGAATTTGAATTGCTCGAGATGTGTATCTTGAATGGAATATTTCATGACGATAAGGATTACATTTTCTTCCGACCACGTTCTAATTGGTGGTTTACAAGTTATGAACGTCCTGATGCATATGGAGACTCGACTAAAAAAATGCAAATGCGTGTAGTGTCCATGGTAGCTCAAAGAACTTCCTACAAGTAGAGATATGGGAAAACAATGAGCCTAACACCAGTAGGCACCACAAAGCTGATTCAGGACTAGGACATCAAATTAGTGTGGGCTTTAGAGCTCTTTTATGGGCCTTAAAGCCCAGCCAATAGCCTATTGTCTACTCTCAAACAAAGGCGGCCTGCGGCTGATGTAAATGGATTGCTATGGCCTTTTTGGGCCAAATTCCCTAAAAAACCCCAAACTTTAGTCTTTGTCTCAATTATATCCCAAACTTTTTTTTGTCTCATAAAAAACCCCAAACTTTTACTTTTGTCCCAAATCTACCCCGTTTACTATTCGTCTAATTTTTTAATATTATTTTTTATTTTTTCGAATTTTTTTTCTTTTCTTTTCTTTTTCCTTTCCTTTTCTTTTTTTTATCACCTTCAACCTCGGCGGTCGCCGGCCCCGGCGACCGGCCGTAGGCGGC